GAATTTCATAAGTTTAGGGTTTAGGGTTTGGGACCCCAGGCTATAGATCCTTGTCTAAGCGGTTAAAAATCGGATACCGCCTATAGTCTCCATTGTAGTTCCTTTTTTTGGTTTAACCAATTATATAAAGGATTTGATAAGGTATCCCCAAAAAAGGAACTACAATGGAGACTTTAGGCAGTATTCCCGTGATAGAACCAAAGAAGATGCGCTTACCAATGTTTTGAAGGAGCCCTACATTCACTAGGAGGGCAAGGGTCGAAGGGGAGGGTCAAAGAGAGCGCGAGAGAGAGAGAGAGAGAGAGAGCCACAGTCAGAGCTAGTATCAGGTTGCGGGTAAGCCAGCCATCCATCCGCATGAACACTGAAGTTACCCAAACCCGAGACCCGATGTAGGAGCTTGCATGATAAAACTTTGATTTGTCCAACATAGTTTTTTTGAAGTAGAACGGAGCAGTCTTAAATACCAGAATATTCAGCCCCCTCTAGTAAGCCCCTTCAGGGTTTGGGTGTTCATGTTCAAAGCCTGTCGAGCCGTGAGGTGCACAAAGGCAAAGCTCTTGCTAACCTTGTTAGGGGATCCCCTCGAAACCCTAAAACCCTAAACCCTAAGGGATCCTTCCCTAAACCCTGAACCCTGAACAGGGGTTTAGGGGTTTAGTGTTATCCTGTGAGAAATCCTAACCACGCTTGTAGATTCTTCGTGCTAGTCTGGCGCGTGCTTGCCACGAGGCATTTCGCCTTCGATAGCCTTTGGGCATGAAAAGAGAGGAACCCTAAACCCTTAACCCTAAACCCCTGAACAGCTGAAACTGGAACCCCGAACCCCACAATTCCCAAATCCGAAGCCCCAACACCCAAAAAACCCAAACCCGAAACCCTAAAAACCCAAACCCTAAAGACCCAAACCCAAGAAATCCCAAACCCTAAACCCTAAACCCAAAAAAACCCAAACCCTAAATCCTCGCCATGGCACGGACGCCGAAGGACTCGGACACCGAATCGATGCAGGTCGGACTCGAGATGCTCACCTTTCTCTGCTGTTTTTTTTGAGGGCTCATGGGGATAAGGTCTCAGGGTTTAGGGGTTTAGGGGTTAGCGGTTTAGCGGTTTAGGGTTTAAAGTTTAGAGGTTTAGGGGTTTAGGGTCTAGGGGTTTGGGTTAAAGGAAACTACAGGTGGGGAGTTTGGGGTATATAGGGCTTCTATACGGCTTCCATAAGGTATATAGACCGTCTAGAAGGCTCCTCTAAGGGTAACTACCCACGTGAAAATGTCCTAGATTTAGGGTTCAGGGAGAAGGCCTTGGGATGGAGGATGTTGGGTTTATGGGGCTTATAAGCCCCAAACCCCTCAGAGCCAGAACAGCGAAGCCCTTGCTACAGGAGGCACTGTCTAATGAAAGAACATGGTTGTGGACATATGATACCACAATTACCAGGGAAACAGATTGGGATACTATCAGTAACTATTCCCAGCTCCCTGGAATCTTCGCACGCAGCCTTGCAGGTGAGTGCTTGTGAAATTTGCACAAGAAGCCCTTCTGCATCACCAGCCTCAAAGATTCTCGAAACAACCTCAACCAAACCCCTGCCCACACAAACGTTTCGAAACGCATATCCTGCAAGAAACCCCACTGGTTCCAAGAGGTTTCAGCAAAAGAGCAAACGACCAAATCGCGAAATTGACGGACTATGGACGATTTAAGTCTGGCGGCTCCTTTCTTGCAAAGATAAACCCTGGTGAATGCAAAACCCACATCTCCTGCAGAGTTGCTTCAAGCATATATAGCACGGGCGTCTTGGTGGACCAAAGCTGGGCACCTCTGTGAAGTCAACATCTTTTGCTTGAAGGTTCGAGGGCTTGGACACCTGCTTCTCCGACTTTACCTTAAGCTACCAACGCCGACTTTTTGGATTGGCTCCGATAAATTCTAAATTCGGGTTTACAATAAGGACCTACAAAAAATGGGTAATGGTAGCTTAAGGTAAAGGTTCAAGAGATACGCCACCTCCAACTCTGAAGCCTGCGGCAGGTGACTCTGAACACTACATCTTGAATTCGCATCCAAGGAGACCCTTACAGTTAGCAGTGTTGCTACGAAGTCCTCAAGCCCCCTGCCCGGAATTACCGAGCCCCTTGCCTTGCCATGATTATCTATCAAGTTCTGGACTGGTTGTAGCTATAGTAGCAGCTATAGCGGGAGTAGGAGGGAAGGACAGCAGCAGCAGCAGCAGTAGTCGTCGTCGTAGTCGTCGTAGAGGTACCGCGAGTGGTAGCAGTAGCAGTAACAGCAACAGTAGCAG